CACTTCACTTCAAAGCTTTTTGATTTGCTGAAAAAAAAATCACAGCTTGCTCTTTTGGGAACTTTTCTTGGGCAGAGGGCTGGGTTGCACAAAATTCAAGTATTCTCAGGTTACTTTGAAGAAGCTTCTTTGATGTTTCCCTGTGCCAGTTTGTTTTGGAAGGTGCTTTAATGGTCTTCCCCTATAAAAATAACACTTTAAAATGTATGTAGGTATCTCAGCTCTCCACTTAAAAAAATGAGCAAAGTTGTTTAATGCTGCCGTTCAAGGTACATTAACCTTGTCTACTAAAGCTCTGACTGGCTCTTGCAGGTTTTATTCTCGTGTTTATGTTGCAGAGATATCCCTGGAGCCTTTCAGAGATGGGTATCTTTGGAGAGGAGAGAAATATTTAGCAGTAATTGTTGTTCTCATCAGAAATCCACTGAAGCAGCTCCATCCTTTCTGTGGAGCTGAAGTTGGGATGAGGATTGGGAAATATTAATTAAATAAATACTAACAACAATGTAAGCATCAAACAACAAAAAAAATTAAATACCTAGGTGAAAATATTAAATAAATAAGTTCTTTTCCTGGTGCTCAGGGACCCATCCACTGACATTCCAAACCAAGACTTTTTTTGGCTTTGTCCAACACGGTGTTTCCTTCTCCCTTTTTTTTTCCAGTGCTTATGTATTGACCAGCAGCTTTTTTAGGAGAAAAATAGAAAAGGGATTTGTTCTGGTCTAGACTTTGTTCTACAGAAATATCAAATCAGTATCTGCTTTAACCCATGCTTTTAGCAGGAACACAGGCTCAATTTCTCCCTTTTTTACCATGCAATAACTAATAACAGGATGCTGGGAGGTTGTGGAGGTCAGCACTGAGTAAAACCAGCATCTTGGCTGAGAGCAAAAGATACTCCCAGTGCAAGAAAACCTCCTGGGATTGGATTGAAGAATTTTGGCTGTGATATATTGTTAAAAAAAATTAAAATTATTTGATGGCCCAGTGGTGTCTTTGCACAAATGTTCCTGATCTCTCCAGATGAGATGATGCATGAGCCTGTTTGGAATCAACCTTGAATGTGGAGGAATGGTCAAGAATTAGTAATGTCTTGAAAAATTGGATTATTTTCTGGTTTTGACCATTTAATAGCACTTGGTTTATTTTTAATAAGCTCAGGGTTGCATAAAGGACTTCCTGTAATGGCATAAAAACCTGGTATTCATCTTTCAGGGTAATGTGTGAATATTGGCAAAAACAGGCAAAAAAAGTGAAGATTTGTTGATAGAAATGGGACATTCAAGAGGAGAGGGTCACTCTTAATTTGCTTTATGGCCAATCAAGGGTTGGCATCACCCGTTGAGGGCGAGCCTGTCCTCGTGGCTCTGAGTGAGATGGATCATCCTCTGGAGGATCCTCTCCATCCCTCCTCTGCTGTATTTCCTCATTTGAACTTGGCTGAATGCATATATCACAACCTTCAGCCTGCACAAGCCCTCTCTGAAGATGGTGACATAAAAATCTCGCAGCCTGCTGTGGGGGGAGCGTGAGTGACACGGCGTCGTGAATCTCACAGCATCCCCTCTTCAAAAAAATCCCCCTCAGACAAGACAATCTGCCCTTAACACTGAAAAATACCTCCCATGGTATTTTTGGGGAAAAAAAAACCCCCATCCTTAAGTACCTCTAATAATTTTGTTCCTTCAGGTGGAGATGAAGAAAAGCCTGGAAAGTTGATTTTCTGATTTTTCCTGTTGAATCCCCCTGTTATCAATTGCATGTGTTGCTGTGGGGCAGAAGCTTCTCAATGACTTGAAAAAGTGATCCCCATTTTCCCATTGGTTCAGAAACAAGAGTTTGGATTGAATATTAACATTTTGCTCTGAAAACAGCGATGTAGAGTACAGAAAAGGGAATTTTTATTTTTTTTTTCTTTCATTCAGCCCCAATTCTGAGCAGCCCTAACCATTCTATTATGAGTTTATGGCTGTTTGATTAATCAAGGAGGCCATATTCACCTGGAGAGTGGTGGGTGACTGACAATACTTTGGTTTTTTAAGTGTTTTAAGGAGTCATGGTAAAAAATTCCAACTTTTCAGTTTAGTCTTTAATTATTTTTACTTGAAAAATGATGAAATATATTGCTGGTAAAAAAAAAAACCCAGCCTATAAATCTGAGAGTCTTTTAGATAGGCACAATTTGGGAAATACATTTCCAACGTAACGACATTTCAGTGATAGCTGAAATAATTTTATTTCATAAGGAAATTTAGGATACTTTGATCTCAAGTCACTGCCAAAACCTGAAGTACTGCTGCTTCCAGAAATGAGAGAGCCTTTATGGGTTTTTATTGCTCACCATTTCTTTCTTCTGTGCAAATCCCCCAGGAGCTGCCTGCAATTCCTGCCTTCCTTGATCTCCAGATCCCCAGATTCACTCTTCACCCAAGATCTGAACATTTCCTTGAGGTGGGCTGGAAGTTGGCAGGGGTTTGGTGCTGCTCTGCTCCTTCCAGTATCTGGATGCCCCTAGCCAAGAGCTCCCACAGACAAATTAATTTAAGAAATGGGGGAAAGAAGGAAAAGAGAGGAGATTTGTGTATAAAACAAAAAATACAAAAAATAAGAAAGGGTTAATGCACGCAATGACAGCTTTAAACCCTTCCTGTGTTGGCTGCTGATAAATCCACGGGGCTAACAGCTCTGCACTGTTATCCTGAGGTTCATGGCTGGGGGCTCCCACGTGGAACACCTGTCCAGCTTTTCCTGTGGCCACCAGACACTTTCCTGGATATTTACAGTGCCTGAGTGCATTTGTTTCCCCCAAGATAAATATATTGCTATTGGCAACAGCTGTCTCCCACTTTTATCCTCTTCTTTTTTTCCTATCCCCACATTTAGCTGTCAGTCCTATTCTCCAAACAAATCAACACCCATAAACCTCAATGAAGGGCTTGATTTGAGCAGCTTAGATATTATTCAGCAATTAAATTGGGCTCTGGGCTGCCACCTTCTGGGAATAGATTCACCCAAAAATCTCCCACCCCCCAGTAAATCGCCACGTGCTGGTTGTAGGATTGCTCTTGGCAGGAACAATAGATGCCAAGCAGGGTATTTTTCCCAAAATAGCAATGTCTTTTTATATTTTTTTTTAGCTTCCCACCCAGATGTCCAGACTGTCACAGTGCTAAATTCTGCTTTTCCCCAGCTGAAACTCTTTCTGGTGGGGAGGTTTTTCCCTTGGTGTTACCCCCTGAGGACACAGATATTTGTGTGCCTGCAATAAATGCAATATCCTCACTGCTAGAGGTCTGTGTCATGCAAGAACCCTGATCTACCTTCACAATGCACAGGATTTCGGGTGTGATTTCTTACAATCCCATTCGTGGGTTCTCCATATTTGTGTAAAGCATAAGAAAGAACAACCTCATTTATTCATGCAAAATAAATTAGAGTTGTTGACTCTCATCCCATGCACACAGCATTTGGTTTTCCTTTTGGATGTGGTGACCTGGCAAAACCTGAAGCCTCGAGAAGATCAGAATATTGCACCTCTTCCCCCAAACACCCATGGACCTCACAGAGAGAACTGCATTTTCCACAAGGATTCCCAGATGTGCCTTGGTTCTGACTGAGCTCATCAGTGCCTCTGTTTCTTTTCCCTGCACCTTTCTGCCTGTGACCATTTTGTTGTGAAAGCGATGCTGATGCTGGGTTTTGGTTATATTCCCTCACAATATCTCGGGGTTTTACGTAACTCTCTGCATTTCCTCGTGGGGTGGTGCCACAGCTCTTCCCCAGATGAGAAGCCAGTGGGAAAAGCAGTGCACCACAACGAGGAGATCCCTGGGGGAAATGTCATCTCTTACAAAAAGGAGGCATTGCAAGAAGAAATTCACCTGTGGAGGACCCAGGAAGATCTGCTGGGTGACTTTGTGAGTAGGCCCAAAACAGAGCTCCGAGGCACAGAAAGGACAGGACAGAGTTTTTAAAAGAATTTAGGCAAGATTATTGGCTTTTCTTTCTAAAGCAACCACAGAGCTGCAGTGAAATAGTGGGAGAGGAGATATCTTCAGGGCCAAGAGTTGCTTTTGGTTCACATCTACCACCAGGTCTATTTGTCAGGGACTTTTCCCAGCCACCACAAATTTGTCCCTTCCTGGTGCCCCTCTTTTTTCTCCATCTCTTTTGGACCTGAAGAGACAAAAAAATTAGTCTGTTTTCCTCACAGAGAACTTTGGAGAAAGCATCAACTTTCAGAGAGGCTGGAGGTGGCGTGAGGACCATCTCCTCGGTTTATGGGGTGTGCAAAATCCAGGTTTGCTCCCTGGTTCAAATCCAACGAGAGTTTCCACATTGCTGTGCATTCTGAGCAGTCACCTCAGCACAGGAGACAGCTGGGTTGGACAGCACAACATAAGAATATGTTAAATAAATTAATAAATGGATATATTAAATATGGTGGTGAATTTCCACACTGGATTCTCCATGTCCCTTCTGAGGATGTGACTCTGTGGTGGCTAAAGGCAAAGAGACACATCATTTGGGGAGGGTTTGGTGGATAATTTTAAAAATTGCAAGTTTTGCAATTATGGTTTGTCTTTCTGCTTCCAGAAAAGAGGAATAGCTGGAAAGGGGATGGAAATCCCCATTTAGGCACTGTGGTTAGGCATGAGAGGGGGAAAGAAAATGCCCTGGGTGTGCCAGGGTTCACAGGGGAGAAAATACCATGAGTTGCACTGATGGCACCCTCATCTCCAAGAGCTCTTCAGTGATCTCCCTGCCAGTGATCTGCTTCTCTTCCCTCCCAGTGCATTCCTCACCCAAAATCATAAATCTCAAAAAATCATTGAATCACAGCAAGGGTCATCAAATCACCTTGAGTTTCTTCCAGGGCTTGTGTGAGGAACTTCACCTCTCCCTTCTGTCTTTTATTTTCCCTTCCCTTTCTGTGGGATTTTTCTGGGGGAGGAGAGTTCCCTGGTAATCCTGCAGCTCCGTTCTCCTGCCCACAGGTTCTCGATGTGATCCCAAGCAGGATGCACCATGTCTCCCCGGCACCAGCTCTGACCATGATGGCCACGCAGACAGTGCCTCCTCCTCCCTACCAAGACACCCCACAGGTGAGCGTCCTCCAGGACCCCCAACTCCTGCATTACTTACCTTGATTTCCTAAATAATGGCCATTACAAAGGATTTCACCCCAGAGCATTCATCTCAGAGACTGGCAGAATGAAAACCCCTCCTATCCATCTCCAAAATTTAAAGATTTTGGCTGAAACTATGGGGTTTTCCCCTTTTTGTCTAATTTCTTAAGCTGTGCCAAGGGAAATTTAGGTTGGATGTTAGCAAAAAGTTTTTTAGTGAAAGAGTGATAAAGTACTGGAATGTTCTGCCTGGGGAGGTGGTGGAATCACCATCCCTGGATGTGTTTAAATAAAGATTGGATGTGGCACTCAGTGCCATGGTTTAGTTGAGGTGGTGTCAGGGCATGGGTTGGACTCGATGATCTCTTCCAACCCAGTGATTCTGTGATTTTGGGGTTTTTGGATCTTCTTGGAAAGCTGGCATGCTGGCATGACTGTGACCAGCAGGTTAATTAGCTGGAAAGGTGACACATTTGACTAAACCAGGGTGGATTTATTCATAGCAATGGCCTTTGATTTATTTCAATGGCATTTTTTAATAACCTTTGACAGGGGAGAAAAAAGATTTCATCTCCAGTGGTGCTGTAAGTGGTCAAATAGCTTTTCCAAGCATCCTTATGGAGCTGAGTTATTGTAAGAAGAGGAGTTTTCCAAACTCTTCTGGAGCATCCCAGTGGGCTGGACCTGGGAGTTGAGGATGGATTTTGGACATGATCCTTCACCTTGTAGCCCATCTTGAGATTTTTTAGGGTAAATTTATATTGCATTTCCACTTTTCCAGCCACAGTGGGTGAACAGGGGTGATCTGTATTGTGCACTGAGCCAGCTCCACATTCAAAGCAGCTTTTTTTCCTGTTGTTCATATGGAAGATTTCAAGTTTTTCCTCTTTTTGCTGCATTTCTCATCTGCAAAAGCAGAAAAATCTCTCCCCCAACAACAACAACAACAACAACAAAAAAAAAACACCCAACAACAACCCCACCAAAAACCCCAAATCCCCAAGCTTGTCCTCTTCAAGCTAAAACAAATAAATTGACTTTCACACCCCCTCCTTGAAGCCACCCGCTTCTCCTTTCTCCTCATTTCCTTCGGTGGGAAAAGGTCACTTCTCACAAACGACACCTCAGTGGGGTTTTATGGCTCCTCCAACTTCTGTGTCATCATTTGCTCGCTCCACTGCTCTGCCTCCAGTAGGGATTT